GCTTCCGGTCTGCTCTCCCCGCCTCCTGCGTGGCCGCAGCTTTCGGGGCTCGGCGGTGGCGCCGCGGGGCGGCGGGGCCCGGCCTAGTGCGGGGAGGTGAGTGCCCGAGTGGGGCCCCTGCGAGCCATGGCCTGCGCCATTGTCCAGTTCTGCTACTTCCAGGACCTGCAGGCCGCCCGGGACTTCCTCTTCCCTCACCTGCGGGAGGAGACCCTTGGCGGCGCCGCGCGGCTGGACCCCAGTAAGTGCCCTCGCCGCGCCCCGGCCGGCCGCCGCCCACAGCCTGTGCTCCGCAGCTCGGCCCTCTGCTGCGCGCCGCTCGCCTCGGCCCTGCTCCCCTGCTCGCTCTCTGGGCCTGCCCGTCTCGTCCGAAGGCCCCCTGCCCTGGCAGTCTCGGCGTCGTCTCTCCTCGCCCTAGCCTGCGCCTCGGTCCCTCTGGCCGAAAGCTGCGTCCTGCTTCCTGTCGCCTGTGCCTATCACCGCTTTCCCACCCCTCCCTCCGTTCCTGGCTTTCTTTCCGAGTACCTTCTCCAGCTCCCCGGCCTTCAGCCGGCGTCCCCGGTCCTCACCGCCTGCTCCGTGGTCCTCCCCCCGCTCCCTGCCAGGTGCCAGCGCCGCACCCTGCTATACCCTCCGTCCTTGCGGCCTCCTGCCACCTCGCCTTCCCCCGCGCTCTCCCTCCACTCCTTTCCCCCATTCACATTCAGAGAATAAATGGCCGATTGATGAGTGAGTCTTAAGGTGGGGAGTACGCTTCTCCCAAATAAGGAAGATAACCTGTCGGAAAGTGAGCAAGAATCTGCATTAGGAACTAAAATTACAGCGACAAGGCCAAGAAAAGTTAACTTGCTTTATTAAGGAGAGAAGCTTTCCGCCCCCTGTCATCATCAGGAGGTGTTAAATAAGCCCTTCCCCACGTAGTATAAAATCCTAAGGCTGGGTTATGACATACTACATAGTTCTTCAGAGGTTCGTACATTTCTGCTTTTGGGAGGGTTTGTTTTGTGTTTATGGTTTTCTTTGCATTTCCAACATGAAGCACACTTGGATTGGTAGTACAGTGCTGTCACTCTGTGCTATGCTGAAATGGTGATATAAGTTCCATTAAATAAGCTCCTCTCCTTTTTCAAAAATTGGAAGATGTCAAATAAAAACTATGAATGTTTACTCTGTGCCTATCATTGGTGCTACAGACCAATTAAGGTTGTTGGTACCTGTCCTCTAGGAGCTTATGGTTTACTGGGAGAGACAGACAAATAAATTAGTAGCCACCATACGCTGTAATCCAGGTATATATGAGGCATTTCCTTGAAGTGGTGATAATTAAGCCTAGCTTTGAAGTAGCAGTTGGAGGAATAATGGAGAGGTAATAGCATGTGCAGAGGAAGGGACGTCTGAGATGGTGTGGTGTCTCAGAGAAGAAACGCTGACTGGCTGGACAGGAGCTTGTGAGGGAAGAGTGGGGGAGATGAGGCTGTGGTAGTAAAAAGGAGCTAGATCATAAGAAGCCTTGTGGAAGTTATTGGGTTCCTCTGAAAGACTTTAAGCGGAGAAATGATGTGGTCATTAAATGATTATTAATGTAATCAACAGAATTTATTAAATACCTGTGATGTGCTCTGGCAGCAGTATTGAGGAGAGATAGGAAGCAGGGAATTTGGTTGGGAGGCTGTTCCAATAATGTGATGTGAGCTTGAACTAAGACAGCCTTAGCAGGATTTGAGAAAAGGGCTAGGTCGGACAGGTATTAAGGGGATAGAATCTGCAGGATCTAGTGAAGGTCTGGTGATGGGGCTTATAGCTCGTGAGTGAGAGAGTTTAGCATGCCTTTGGCTTTTGGCATGGGCAGGGGTATTTAATGAGAGAGAATGAAGGGGACAGATTTTGCATTTTAAATGTTATGATATGTCTGAGTAAAGAGGTCCAGTCGAACACTAGATGTAGAGGTGTAAAAGAGTAGGGCCAGACACATTAATATGGGAGTTACCAGCAAAAAGTGTCAATTTGATCCCAAGGATTATGTGTATTGTGAAATGAACTGAAGATACAAACTTAGGGGAGCACTGATGTTTGCGAGTCAAGTAGAGGTTGTTGGGAAGAAGACTGAGGAGGAGTAGCAGAGAGAGGAAAATTAGGTAAGAGTACTGCCTCAGAAGCTGAGGAAGGAGAATTTGATGATGTAAGTGAGGAGTGGTTAGCAGTCTGGCAAATGCAGCAGAGGTCAGGTAAGATAAAAATAGAAAAGTGCTCTTTGGTTTTGGGAAGGGGGAAGTGACTGGGGTCTTAGGACAGTTTCAGTAGAATAGTGAGAGCAGAAAGCATATTTGCAGGATGTTGAGGAGTTAAAAAAATGAAATAGACTATTTCAAGGAGCTTGGATGTGAAGGACAGTAGATATAGATTGCACACAGGGCATGTAAAGAAAAGAAACACATTTTCTCTATCCCACTGCCAGTCCTCTGGTCAAGGCCATCATCAGCTTCAGCCATGGCACCATCTTTTTCTTTTTTTTTTTTTTTTTTTTTTTTTTTTTTTTTTTCCTT